TGCTTATTCTAACAATACCCTTTAGGCCCATAAATTTACTTTCTTTGTTCTGCCTCTAAGAGCTGAATGGGACATGGTAGTCTTATGCTAGCAGCAGCAAAGGGTGGAGGATGTTTTCTTTGCTCCATTTTTGAGCGTTGTAGGCTTTTTACTCAAAAAAGATGCACTAAGCTTACCATAAACTAATTTCATTTTTTAAATACTGGCTCCAAAAAGAATAGGGCAATTTGCTGACACATTTGGCAATCTTTGGTCCCACAAAAAATTACTCTAGGGCCAAAAGGCAAACATAATGAAGGAGGGTGGGTGATTGCCTTCCCATCTTGGTGCTTTTCTGATCTATAAGGAAGAGGTGAGCTGTGGGGTGCTATAGAATCTCAGCAAACAGCAGTAAAAGCCAAGGGGATATGAAGGGAATAGGAGAATCAGTGAGCTATGTTAAAAGGCTTGCAGGCCAAATCTCACCCAAAGGCCAAAGATGGCATGCTCCTGCTTTACGGAAGCAGAATGGCTCAGGGAAGGCAGTCCTGCCAGGGATGTATATATAGTGCGTGTATAGCAGATATTTCATGGGCCGTTGTGCTAGCCAAGTGGCTTGTGCATAGACTACAATTTACAATGCTCTGAGTAAACAGACTGCTGAGACATCTAACCAAATGGCCCAATCTAAGTTGATAGGGTGAATTTAGCTTTGAGTAGGTTTCGCTTATGTGTAGTATATGGTTCACCATTATTCTTTTGATGGGCTATTAAATTCCTAGCCTTCCTTTACAAAGCTTCTTGTCAGCTCCTTGTAAATTGAGATGCCTCTTCAGTAGGTTGAGAAAACATTTGGCCTTCCCTGTAGAATATCACATCTGGACTCACCCGCCCAGATTTGGCAGCTGCTTTTCCGCCAACCAAGTGTGGCCCGGTATGGAGGAAAGCTTCAGGGGTTGAGGTTGGGCTGTTCCACCTTCCTTTGACATTTCCAGTGCTCTAATTCTTCAAAAGCTTCTAAAGCAATATGCTAAAAGAGAGCTGATTCATGAACCAATTACTGATTCAGCATCATTCAGATTCCCCATAATGGCATTGAAGAGGATGGTGTGGGTGTGCAGCTGCAGGAGAATTGGAGGTTTTATTGGGCTTTTGAACTTTAAAGAAAGGCAACATTAGCAAAGGGTTCAGTTGCCTGGGAAGGATGTCCTTTACATGGACCCTGATTCACCCCTACAGAGTTTCAAACAGCTTCTCTACCAAGTAAGCTTTTTGAGGCCAGAGACCACACTCTCCTTTAAAATTTATGTTTTGGATTCTGAGGATGCAGGGAACATGCCAGAGATGGGTGTTCCCTATTAAGAACCAAATGGCCAAGTTCCGGGCCAATTTTAAGTTTCTGAGTAGTTTTCAAGGTCAACCCTCCCCCCCCGCCCCCTCATATATTATAAAGCATCTTGCAATTACACAGCAACTTGACTGTTGGTGAGAGTTGGTCTTTGTTGTCTGTGGACTGGTAGGAGAGAGAAGAGGGGGTGGAGTAGAACAGTAATGTAATTGCCTGAGTTGTTTAGGGGTATATCTCTCCCCTTCTACCAACACAGACTGGAACCAGCCCTGGAGGAAGGAGAACCTCCCACTCCCAATCCCCAGAGTTAGTCAAGTAGGTTACCAAGACTGAATGTATTGAAAGCTGCTGAAAAATCAAGGAGGGCCAGGATGGATATACAACCTCTATCTTGATCCCTCTTGAGATCATCTACAAAGAAGATCAATGTGTCTTAGGACTGTATCCCAACCTGAAACTACAACTGAAAAGGGTCTATATAATCCATTTCTTCCAGGGCCCTCTGAAGGAGCAATCCAAGCAACTTCTCAACAGCCTTCCTTAAAAATGGAAGGTTGGAGACTGGACAAAAATTATCCAAGGCTGTTGGATCCAGTAATGGTGGTTTTGAGGACAGGACAGACCACAACCTCTTTAAGGGGAGGCAAAACCACCCTCTCACTCAAGAATGCATTCACCAGTGCCTGGACTGAACCACATGTCATCTTCCAGGAGGTCTTACCCATGAAGGCACATATCTAGCATACAGATGGCCATGCTTACAGCCCTGCGGACCCTGTCTACTTCCTCAAGACTAACAGGCTTGAACTCTTCCCAGATAACTAAGTCAGACCTTCCCTCAGACAGCTCCAAAGGATCTACAGAGTCAGAGACTAACTGTGACAATTATCCAGAATATTCTTCACAGCAGCCCTGTACATGTTCTTCCAGCCCTTCCCTCCCTAGGAGGGACTGAGTCATCTTAAACAGAGGAATGAGACAATTCTGAAATAAGAAATGTTAATAAAACAGCTGATAATATTTTCTGTAAAGTCACTTGGTGGAGATTAAAAGTTAGCCACTTAATTTTGAATTGAGGACCACAACAGATATTGTTATTAGCCTTCCAAGAAACAGCACATTGATGATAGAGTTGTTAATAAATAGTTTCTTTCCTACAGCTGTCTCATTGCAGCCTTACAAATCCATTTATACTGGATAGTGATATCAAAAAAGGGGAAAGCTCAGGCGTGGACAGAACAGTGCATTCTCTCTCTACCCATTGGCCCTTAGTCAGAGGTGAATGGAAAATCAGTCTGCCAGCATGTAACCTGTAATCTGATGGAGGGTACTAGCTGGAAGGTATAAAAGGCTGGGTAAAGATCTATTAAGGGCAGGGAATGTGTAGGTCAGCTGGAGTAAAGCAGAGAGGAAGAAGAACTCAGCTGTAAAAGGTCAGAGGAAAAAGAGCAACAGTGACTATCCACAGAAATTTATAAAAGGCAAAAGAATACAGAGGGCTAAAATCACAGCATTCAGAGGCTGAATAGATCTGGAGAGAGAAGAAGAACTTTTGTAGCAGTCCCATAGGACAGCAGAAGCCATATCTACCAGCTACAAAGTATTGAGCTCAGGAATCTAGAAGTCTCTTGACAGCAATATTGAGACCTTTTCTAGCCTGAATCATCCATGCCAAGAGACCTCATCTCTACATTCAACAATATCCCTCTTTCCCCTGTTCCTAAGGAAACTGTGTACTGTAAGCCCTGAATGGACCCCTCAAGGCAGTTTTGGGATGGAGGACGACAAGCCAACTGAAGATCAAACCAAAGTCCTATGGACTTTGCTGGATGAAAGTTTGCAGGTAGACTTAGAGCAGCTTGTACTGCCCCAGAAATACTAAGTAAGCACTTTAAGGTTTTTCTGATCTATCAAAACAGATACATTAAGAACTGCCCTTTACCTATTTAGGTATCTTGACCAGCTGCAATCCTGTCTGCTCGACCTTTGGTGTTGGGCAATTATTAAGAAATAGGTGCTTTCAGGTACAATTTTGACTGGAAAGTGAATCAAGTTAGAGCACTAATATATCCCTCCTAACCAGCATGACCAGTCCCCAACATCACCATCATCATCCACAAATGGAATCATAACATGTAGTTTAGCCTGCAGAAGTAGAAAAAAGCAATGTATATACCATTATGTATATACTATTATGTAATCTTTGCTATGGGTCCTTGTCTTTGTCAAGCTACACCACATTTATCTATTGTAATTACAATCTGTAAAAAACTTTGGTGTTGGGTTAATGTGCCCAAGTAGGCCAATAATGTATATTGGGTATAAGACAGTTGAAGCTGGTTTAGCTATCATTGCTAGGAAAGGGGGTCTTCAAACTGACAACTTACAAAACTAAATAAAGGGATGTCAGTTGGTGATAGCTGGTTATTGGTTAGAGAAGGACCAATGTTTGTAAACAAAAGGTCAGTTGGAACAAAACTGAGGGAAGAGCCACCCTTTCAATCAAGAATCTAGCTAGAGCAAGTGACCTGAAGACTACAGCTGGTGGCTGGACAGAAGGAAGGTATGAACTGAGGTAGGAATGAGACTTCAAGCAGGCAACAGAACTCAGGATAAGAAAACTTCCAGCAGAAGCCAGACTATGAGGAGCTTGAGCAATGTTTAAAACATCTATATGGGAATAGAAGAGAAATGTGCTCATACCAAAAGCCTGAACTTTTTTGAGAAGTTTTAAATATGTTTTAATATATTTTATTTGTTCCATTTATAAGCTGCTTCAATCATCCAAGCAACCTCACTTCAAGTCCACAAAATATGTTGACTGAAGATACATATACACATAATGATGAAAAGTGTGCAAAAATTACCATATTTTCATTCAGTTGTGTGAAAACAAGCGTGAACCTTAATGCATTGTTTTCTGACAAATTAACAAACCACCAGTCTGGAGAGAACTTTCAGAGACTAAAACAAGACTAAATGCAGGTGTCATTTTACAAAGGATGCAATCACAAGGGGAGTCAATGCAATGCTTCAATTGGCCCATTAAAATCTGATTCAACTGGGCTGTTATTTGAATTTATATTTGTGAAAAGGGGCTCAGCAGTGGAGCACAGATTACTGATTTGGTTGAGAAAATTATAGCTTAAAAATCCAACTCAACTGGGGTCTCAACCAAGAAGCCAAATGCACTCTACAGGGCTTCACCAATGGAATTTTTATCTGCCAATTAGTTGTTATTGTTGTGGGGATTCCATTAAGGGAAAAGGTGGCATATCACGCTTTGATGCGCATAAGAGTGATTGGAAACATATTCAGTCAAGTTAAAACATCTCAGAAACTAATGCTCACTAGATTTACTCTTGAAGGTAAGACTGACTTCAGGCCAGTGCAACCTCATGATTTCAACATATGCCAGCAAAGAAATCCAAGAGTGCTGCTTCCATCTGGGCCTGGCAGGGAATGTAAGAGAGTGGGCTTTGGGTTTGGCAAGATGCTTCTTTCCTAGAGAAAAATGTTCTGGCATCCACCTTGTTTTGCAATGTAATTAGCTGGCATCAACCTCTTTCTGAGGTCACTGAACGGTACTTGCAACCCAAGGGGGCAAAGTCCATGTCCTCCTCCACTAAATGATTAATTCATATGCAAAGCCTAAGGGGCTTTTGCTCTCTGAAGTAGTCAGCAAGACAGCAAGACAATGCAGTTGATTGTTGAACTGAAAGCAATGATTTCCCTTGGCATGAAGGGTGATAGAAGCAAATCTTCAATCATTATTCAGGTGAAGGCTTTTATATTGTGAAAAGGGTTGCTGGTGTTTTTATGCACTCTTTTATTTCATAGTGACATTTTAAATGCTACCGCACAATGTTGTTTTTGCTACTTAGATATATGGGTGTGCAAGGCTTTTCTACCCAATTAATGTGATAATCCTTAGGAACTTTTTTTAATCCAAGAGAATGTAGTGCTTGTCCTCAAATGTTCTAGTTTATGTTATCATGCCACTTTGCAGCCATGTTCCCATATTCCATTTCACTTTCATAAAGGTGGCTGTCCTTAAGGGTATATTCTTCCACTGCTTTCCAGAGACATTGCCACAGAAGAAAAGATGCCATATTACAGATATATAAACATTTTTCTGGCAGTAAATTTGCCATGATAGGTTGGCCTGTTTTTCATCAATTATGATGGCTTGATTCTCCTAGTGATGTTGAATTTCCCTGTGGCTTGTCTTGAATCATAGCATTGGAAGGGACCTTGGAAGTCTTCTAGTCTTCTGCCCAGGGCAGGAATCCTCAGACCGTCCCAGAGAAATGGCTGTCCAACCTTTGTTTTGAAACCTCCAGTGATGGAGCACCCATGATTCCAGAAGGCAGCTGTTCCACTGCTTAATAGTTCTCATGCTCAGGAAATTCACTCTTATTTTGAGTTTGGGTTTCCCTGTAAAACTTCCACACATTGATTCTTGTCCTACCTTCAGACCTTATGGAGAATAAATCCATACCCTCTTCCCTCTGTGACATCACTTCAAGTACTGGAAGATTGCTATTATATCTCCTGTTAGCCTTCTCTTCTTTAGGCTAAACATATCCAGTTTTTTTAACCATTCTTCATAGGACTTAGCCTCCACGATCTTCACCATCTTTGTGCTGTTCTCCACACTCTTTCCAGTTCCTTAGCATCCTTCCTGAGTTATGCTGACCAAAACTGGACACAGTATTCCAGATGCAGTCTGACCAGTGCAGTGTAGAATGAAATTATCACTTCCCATGATCTTGGCATTATATTTCTCTTGAAGCAGCCCAAGACTACATTGGCTCATAACGGTATTCATCTCTGTAGTTCCACCCCTTTCATATGTACCTGTGACATCAAAGGGCTCACACTATGATGTCACAACATTGCTTTCTGCACCCCCATTGCTGGCACTGCTGTCTGGTTTAATCCAGAAAAGAAGAATAACTCTCTGTAAAATGCCACATTAATCCAACAAGATCTGAACTCTTTATTCATTGTGCTCATAAGAACAGGATCCGTTCTTCAGCTTCCTTTTGGATCTGCCTCTTTTCAGTATAGGAAAGTCAAAAATAAGAAGTCATATCATTTCCCTGAACATAGAGCCAAAAATTTCATCAAAGGCTATTCCTGTTCTTAGGACATATACTCAGAAAACAGTTAAGGCAGGCTGAGCAACCCATAGGCTTCCAATAGAACCCCAGCACCCCAAGATTTTGCTACCAAAATTCTGGGGCAAAAGAACCTTATTTCAGCAGTGCAGGGTTTTGTTTTTGTTTTTCCTTTGTTCCTTGTTTTAAAAAATTAAATTTAAGGATTAAGAATAGGAACAAGAGGCCTCTAAAAGGCAAGCCACTCCCATTTGCATCAATTGTTTATGTGCCATCAGGTCGATGTTGACTCTTAGCAGCCACGTACATAGACCTTTTCCAGGGCTCCGAACCTGGCTCTTCAGGTCTTCCATTACCACCTTAGTCAAGTCCATCTACCTTGTTGCCAGTTGTTCTCTTCTTCTTTTCCTGTTCACTGCACATTAATTAAGCTCCTATAGCTATTGAAGCATTGTTGTCCAAAATGCCAGTAATGAGGACAGGCTTTACATTGCTTCAATGAAGGCTGGATGTTGCTATAAAATGCTATAAATCACTAGTCATGAAATGGCCTCATAATGTCGCTGGTCAGTGCTGATATATCTGAAATGTACGAAGAGAAAATATGATGGCATTTGAAGGCTGTTATCTTGGGCAGATTAATCCGTAGTAATTTTTAATTTGAAGATCTATCTAGCTCTCAGCATTTCCTGAGGTTTGTTTATGTAGGCACTTAATTTTAATGATGGCTCCTTTCTCCCTCTATCTGTATATCATCTAATGTTTTTTTGAATTTCCACATTTTATTTGCCCCCCCAACCATCATAACCTCACATGACAGAAGCATAATTTAATAGACTCCTAGCCCATGTGTCAGTTCCTTAAAGGGCAGCGACAGCATAGAAGTGCTGAATGACCAACTTGGATGTTGCAGGCACAGCAGAATTTCCTGTTTCTCTTGGTTGGTTTTGATGGCTGTGGTTCTTTGTTTTCAGATGAGGCATCAGCAACAACATGAGTTGCTTTTGCAAAATGGGGTTGGGTGGGGTTCAGAAGCTTTGTTTTCCTGCCAAATCTCTCCACATGGCCTTTTGTTCCCTCTCATATCATGAACCATGGTTACATGCAACACGCAAGCCCACAGATCCTCCCTAATATATTAATTCTTCGTTCCAGAGATATACCCAATCCTTTATTGACATAAGAAGAAAAGAATCTGATCTCTGCAATCATCTCTTTAATACATGATGGAGATAAAACAATATTTTGAAACAGAAAACAGGAGTATTATATTCAGACAATTGCATTAAAATCCTACACACACTGTTGTAGTGGAGTGAAATGGGACTATCTAAGAAGATGGAACAAACTGCAAAGGAAATGTGAGCTCAGGGAACAAAATTAGAATAAAAAAAGCAATTAATTAAATATCACAGTGCATTACTGAGTGGAATTCAAAATGAAAAAAGGAAGTTGAAAAAGGATATTTGTAAAACATAAGAATCTTCCAGAACTGAACTCATTTAGTATTAAAAATGCTTTCATGGCCTAGCAGCTTAAAGTAAAAGAAACTGCGAACATGGGTTTTCATGTAAAAATAATTTAAAACTAAAATAATGTCGTTATTTGCATTCAATAATATTCAAGGATATTAGGTTCATGTCAAAGGCACGATCCCCATTGATAACTTACAGCATCTTTTTGAGTCATCCAACAAGTTGTGCTGAAATAACAGTAATAAAGACAAGCTTGACATCACTTCAGCAATGGCTGGGTGACTCTACAAGACACCCTAAATCACAAGAGAGGATCCTGCCTGAGAGCCACAGGAGGCAGGCTCAGTCTGCTGTTAGCTAATTCCAAGATTGGTTAAATATAGGCAAATAATTGTTTACTGTCAAGTGATATTTCTTTGTTTTTGCAAATTGGGGTGGGGGTGACCAAATGCTATGGTGTGTGGAACATGATGTATTGATGTCACACAAGTGGACTGGACCATGGTTTTCAGTGGATTGGGCTTGAAGAAGTCCCCCCCCCCTTTTGTTCTTTTTAAATGTTTTAAGCCTATCTTATTTATTTGTCACATTTGTCACATTTATTCATTTATAAACTATCCACTTCTCTCACTTTTTGCTTACTATTGAAACACAGTGGAAATTGTGCCTCCTTTAATGGCTGTTTGCCACCAAGTTTCAACAATGCAATTTCAGTGAACTCTGGGTGGAGACACTTAAAAAGAGATACTTTGCCTGAAAAACAGAAGACCCCATTACAGGATTTTTCTAATATGCAAAGAGCTGTTGCATCAGGAGAAAGAAATGGCAAAGAGTTAGATCTCATGGGCTGAAATTACAGGTGTGTAGATCTGGCTGAACATTGGGAAAAATCTGCTAATAGTGTGGATATTTTAATAATGTTAAGTTCTCTCTAGTTCCAGACAGAAAGCCATCTTTTAGAATTCTTATAGCTCTGAATTTCTTGCCTTGAGCAAAGAGGGGACTAGATGTCTTATAAAACCCAGTATCAGACTAAAGGATAGCTTTCCACTGAAAATTGTAGTATACAATGTAGTATGCCCAATAAAGAGAGTCCAATATAATAGACCTAGCCTATTTGTTTTTTAGCAAAAGCCACTGCAGCTATTTTGGATTGTCTTTTCAGTTGTTGCACCAAAGAGAGGATCAGGGTGCTTTGGCAGTTGTATGGAGTAAATACATAACAATAATCCTATTCAGGCTTATCCTTTTTTCCCCCCTTCCTTGGTAATGATCCAGTTTGGTCAAAGCTGTATTTTAGCAAGAAAACAGATTAGCCGAAGTCTTTACCAAGCATGATTTAATCAAAACCTATCCCTGTTCTGGGATCTGGCTTTACTTACAAAGTAAACATAGCAAACATTCCAGACTTCACTTTCCCCATGTTTGACCTCCATTACATTGCATAATAAAATTAACCATTCAGTTACTGTCTTGTCATAAATCTCTGCAGACCCGTTCTCCTCGTAAAGATAAAGGAAAGCTGAAGATCTGGAGATTAAGTCTGATCTAAAGCACAAAGCATAGTGGAAGACCTTTTCGTTTAACACCCACATCTGGCCCCTGCCATATTTATTGCAGGGAAACATCTCTGCCTATACACATGGGTGAATGAATTGGAAGGGTGCCCCATCGCCCCAAGTTGGAAATAACACTTGCAGTGCTGAAACCCTCAGCAGGTAAAAAGCCAGCAGGTCAAGAAGAAGGTTTGAGCCCTATGCTTTATCTGCTATTATTCACAGGTAGCAGGAAAGATTCAATCTCTCCTCTTACTTTAAGTTTGAAGTAATACAGCCCTTCCATCTTTTCAGGGTTCTGCTACCTCATTCAAGTGCAAATGAATTTTTACATCCCCTTTGGAAGAAACATACTTTTTGTGAGATTGCCATGCAGCTTTTCTGCTGTGTTTGTTTGACCAGCAGATAGAAATCGAAGCCGTCAATATAGAAGATGAAGATGTGTTTGCTCTCCTTTTGTGTGTCTATGTTACTCTTCGTATAGACAGTGAAAAATAGGCCTCAATGGAAGATCACAGGGACAGAATCAGTATTAATCTGGTTAGTACATTATACTTTAGGATGGAAATCAGAGACAATTTTATGCTGGTTCAGAATAGCTATGTGGCAGACCTTAACTTGGCC